GGCTCAGCACACAGCCCTGTGGTACACCAGTGTTGAGGATAATGGTGGAGGAGCAAGTCTTGTCTAACCTAACGTTCTGAGGCCTGTTGGTCAGAAAGTCCAGAATCCAGTTGCAGAGGAGGTGCTGATGCACAGGTCTCCAGGTTTGGTGGTTAATTTGGAGGGGATGACCATGTTAAATGCTAAGCTGAAGTCCATGAACAGCATTCTTGCCTAAGTATTGTTATTGTACAGATGTCTGAGTACAGAGTGCAGTGCTATGGAGACTGCATCCTCCAGGCTCCTATTCCTGCAGTAGGCAAATTGGTGGGGGTCCAGTGTGGGTGGGAGACAGGTCATTAGGTGTGCCAGGACCAGGTGCTCTAAGCACTTCATGACAATGGAGTCCATGTGGTGAAACCTGTCCTGTAGTACAGAGTCTGTCCTCTCTGGCCACACTTTACTGATCCTCATTGATGGCTTCACATGGCGGTTGAGTGGTGAGTACTTGGGAATAAGAAACAAAGAAAGGTGGTCTGACTGTCCCGAGTGGGGGAGGAGGGTCACTTTGTATGCAGCAGCCATGTTTGTGTAAACATGGTCCAGAGTTTTATTTCCTCTAGTGTGGCAAGAAACATGCTAGTGGAATTTAGGAAGCACTGGCTTTAGGTTGGAGTGATTAAAATCACCCACAACAATAAATACAGCCTCTGGGTCTGCATTCTGTTGTTTGCTAATGGCTGCATGAAGTTCGTTAATAGCAAGCTTAGCATTGGCATCTGGAGCAATATAAGTTGCAGTTATTGTAGTGGAAGTGAACTTCTTGGGCAGATAAAAAGGTCTACACTTGACCATAAGAAATTCCAGGTTAGCTGAGCAGTGTCTCTGAGTGATGACAGAGTACACCAAGCTTTAACATAAATGCACAGTCCTCCACCTCTGGTCTTACCGGAGTCATCTGCCATTCTATCTACAAATACTCAGAATCAGAATCTGCTTTATTGGCCAGGTATGTTGGACAAACGAGGAATTTGACTCTGGTACGTCGGCTCTCAATGTGTATGTACATATCCCCATGCGAGGGGCAAGTAAACAGTAAAGCAGCTGCAGCAGTAAACCAGCAGTAAACCGGCTGTGTAATATAACAAAATAAGCAGTATTAACAAGCAAAAAACAGTGCAACAATGCAAAATAAGCAGTATAGACAGGCAGTAAACAATGCAGACAGACAAAGAAATGCTCATTGAAATGAGATAAAAGGAATAAAAACAGAGTACTTAAAACTAGAGACCTGTACGAATCTGTGTAATCTGTATGAGGTATATGTACAGATGTTGCACTGAGGGTTATTGTCCAGTCATACTGTCATTGGTTAAGTGTTCAGAGTGATGGCCTTGGGGAAGAAACTGTCCCTGTGCCTGGTTGTCTTGGTGCACAGTGGCCTGTAATGCCGTCCAGAGGGGAGGAGTTCAAACAGATTGTGTCCAGGGTGTGAGGGGTCTGCAGTGATCCTCTCCACCCTCCTTTTGACCTGTGAGGTGTACAGGTCCTCCATGGAGGGCAGGCTCACACCAATGACATTTTCTGTAGTCCTGACTGTCCGCTGAAGTCTGTACTTGTCCTGTTTGGTTGCTGAGCTAAACCAGACAGTGATGGAGGTGCAGAGAATAGACTCGATGATTCCTCTGTAGAACTGTATCAGCAGCTCCTGATGCTGGTCGAACTTCCTGAGCTGGCACAGAAAGTACATCCTCTGCTGTCCTTCTTGATGATGGTCCTGATGTTGTACGCCCACCTCAGGTCCTGGGAGATAGTGGAGCCCAGGAACTTGTAGGACTTTACTGCTGATACAGTGCTGCCAACTATGGTGAGTGGGGGTAAGGTGGGGGCGCTCTTCCTGAAGTCCACTGTCATCTCCACTGGTTTCATATAGCCAGTGATGCTTTTCAAGCTCTCCCACACAGACAAGTGGTTGTTGGCTGAAACCTGAGCTTTCAGCTTTTCAGAGGAGCTCCTCTTTGCTGCTCTGATCTCCCTTGTCAATGTGTTCCTTGCCTGGCTGTACAGAGTCGTGTCCCCACTTCTGTAAGCCTCCTCTTTGGCAGGACGAAGCTGCTTGAGTCTGGCTGTAAACCAGGGCTTGTTGTTAATACATTCAGCATCAGACACCCTGCAGTTACATTCTTTTACTATAAAGGAATAGAAAGTCACTTTCGGCTTTTCCCATTTAGAGGTTGCCACAGCGAATCGTCACACTGACTACATTTGGCACGTGTTTTACGCCAGATGCCCTTCCTGACGCAACCCTGATTCGAACCTGGGCCGCAGCAGCGAGAGCACTGCGCCTTAACCACTAGCCTACCAGGGACGGCACTTTTACTATAAAGAAATCCCAGTAGAAAATATTATTTGCATAAGCAGAATGATGATCAGTCTCATGTTATCTATGAACAGTTGTTGTGTAGTCATTGTTAAAGGAGAGACTGCTCAACATAAAAGGAATTGCTCTCTAGTTCAAGAGGTCAGGAGACATGCACAGGATCAGTCTTCTGATAAGATAACACATAATGACCAGACATCCATGCCTGGAATGGAGACACTTGGCTGGCAGAACCAATGATAACTATGCAATAAACTATGCAATAAACTGTATAAACAGCACTCAAAGGGACTGCTCCTTTGAGCATTTGCAGAGACATCTTGAATGGTTAAAGTTTGCTCCTCTTCCTTCCAAGAATAATAAAGGACACCTTGATAATTTTCAGAAGTCTCAGTATTCCTTCGTCTCATGTTGTTAAACCTTTCTAACACAGTAGCTCTGATATGCAGTGTTGAAAAGTAAGTACATTTACTCAAGTACTGTACTTCAGTACAATTATGTTCTGCTACTTTTTATTTGGACTTCACTACACTTCAGAGGCAAATATTGTACCTTTTACAAATATAAGACCATTTACCAAGACCATCCAGTCAGCTAAAGGGGGTCATTAATACATGTCAATTAAAACAACATCAGTTAGGGGACCAGGAGGGAAAAGGGGAACCACTGTGTGAAAATAATTTAATGTTGGCATGTTAATTGCAGTAGAACAATATACGGTAAACAAACTTTCACATAGAAAGGCAGAAGCATGTGTATCTTAAACCACTGGCAGACAGCATGAGACCCAACAAATTAAGTTGACACTTGGAGACAACACACCCCAGTCATGTCGATAAGCACCTCGACTTCTTTCAAAGAGAAATGGCAGAATACCATCAGGAGGAAAATCGCATGGTAAAAGCTGCATCATCAAACAGCAAAGCACAAATGTCTTCATTCAAAGTTGCATACAGAATTGCGCAGTGCAAAAAAACGCACACAAATGCTGAACAGCTCATTCTCCCTGCTGCTGTAGACATGGTGTCAATTATATCCATCCATCGTATCTTAAAGACCTCGTAGAACCTTATCATCTTAACAGAGCACTTCGCTCTCAGAGTGCAGGTTTACTTGTGGTTCCTAGAGTCCACAGAAGTAGAATGGGAGGCAGAGCCTTTAGCTATCAAGCTCCTCTCCTATGGAACCAACTCCCAGTCTCAGTTCGGGAGGCGGACACCCTCTCTACCTTTAAAATTAGACTTAAGACTTTCCTTTTTGATAAAGCTTATAGTTAGGGCTGGATCAGGTGACCCTGAGCCCTCCCTTAGTTATGCTGCTATAGGCCTAGGCTGCTGGGGGGCCCCATGATGCTCTGAGTTTCTTTCCCCTCCCCTCCTGCTCTGCTCTCCTCCTCTCTCTCTCTATGCTTCTATATGCCACCATTACACATTACTAACTTTGTGTCTCCTCTCTCCCGTAGTGTGTCCTCTCTCTCT